CGACAACCGACCTTACGACTACACGACCACTACTACCACGTTCTCCTAACACGTACGTGACACTCGCTACACAGCCTTACGCTTCCTCTCCTTAGAAAGTTGTACACAACAACGTGTGGATGTTTTCATGACCTTCTCATCCTACAAACAAGACTCAGCGGATAAACTCAGTGTCTAACAAAACATTAGGGAAAAAATCCCAGGATACAAAACTCTGGTGAAGACAGGTCAGGTGGAAGAAGGTGGCCCAGGGCCCTAGCTGGTGCCCCTGCTCATCCTGTTGCCCGAGAAGGTCCACGGGGAGAAAGCCAGTGAAGCCTGTGGGAACCGACTGACACTGCGGAATTGAACGGTATCCTGTCTGCTCCACTTGGGAGGCAAAATTCATCCACCTTATTAAATGAAATTACCACTTTCCACTTCGTATGTGTAAGATGCACAAGGACACGACAGAGACAGCCAAGCACTGACAATCCCAAGGGGACAAGGGGACAGCCATCCCCTCTCTGTTGTAAGAGAGGGACCAGACAACAGTAAGGATGGCATCCAACTCTTCCAGCAGTGCTCATGGCTGGAGAGATGGCTGTTTTGCTGGTACTAAAACAGGGGGTGATGTCCTCAAAAGAATAAGGGGCCCCCGACACACCTAGGGACTGGCTACACAGCTCACTCTCCCGCCTAGTGACGGTGAGCACTGCCGACGCTGGGGTTCACCACACTAGTATCACCCTCTGCACGGGAAATTCATTCTTCTCGATTCTGAAGAACCTGAGATCTCCAACCCCGAATGAGTGAAGGATCTGCATTTTAATAACTTTCCTTAGAGCAGAAATTAAGTTCATAAGTGAGGGATCTGACCAAGGGTCTACTGGAACAGACCAGGGCTGGATGTCAGGGTGCTGAGGCACAGAAGCAAACGTGGGGAATCAAACCAAGTCTGAAAAATTCTCACAAACCTCCAACCCACCCCAAACCATGCTCGGTGCTGGAGGTTGAATGGTGGTCCCACAAAGAGATCTTCAAGCCCTCAACATGTAGCTGTAAGTGTGATCTGATTCTGAAGCAGTGCCTTTGTGAATGTAGTCAAGCTAAGATGGGGTCACACCAGAGTACAGTGACCCCACATCCAAGAGGACAAACCCAGACAGACAGGGAGAGACCACAGCGCTGCAGCTGGAAGCCAAGGAGCGCCAGGCAGGCCGGAGGCCTCCAGAAGCTGGAAGGAAGGGCTCTCCCCTAGAGCCTTCAGTGACAGCACAGCCCGGCCAGCACCCTGGTTCAGACCCGCAGTCACAACGGTGAGACGATGACTTTCTGTTGTTTTCAGCCACCCAGTTTGCGGTACTTGTTAGAGAAGCTCTAGAAACCAATACACCAGCTTACGCCCATACTTCTGTCTTCTCAACTTTACTAAGACCTTGAACTGCTTCTGCTGTCGCCCCTCCAGTGAACCTCAGAGGAATCTTTCAAATCATGCATCAGATCACACTGTCCCTCTGGCTCTGAACCGTCCAGTGGCTTCCACCCCACTTCCAGGCCTGCTGCCCACGGCTCGGAGACCAGCCCCGGGCACGTTCTCCTGCTCACTCTGCCTCAGACACGCTGGCCTTCCTGCCCCTCCTCCAGCTCGCCAGGTCAGCTCCTTCCTTGGGCCCCTCTGCCTTCCACCCTCTCCCCCGGGGGATTGCATGGCCCGCACCTTCCAGTCACTCAGGCCCCACGAGGCAACACCTCCACAGGGAGGCCACCAGGATGCAAACCCCCAGCCCTGTCTCTCTCAGTGCATCTCTCCTGAGAAGTACAGAAGCCCCACGAAGGCAGGACCTTGTCCTACTGCTGCACCATGCCACACATATCGGGCTCATTAAAAGACCTGCACAGTGAGACCGGCAAACACCTGTACAAAGAGAGTAGGCGTCCCTGGCCAGAGCTGCCCGGCTACCCAGCCTCACCTCTAGTATTAATGGAAGATGCTCTTTGAGCAAGCTGTCTACGACAAGCACATGGCACAAACATATCTTGGTATCTCTAATTTCCAAATAACACACTTTGACTCAAGTCATGGACGAGAAAAACAAAAAGTTCTAGATAAAATAGCACCATTATCCTTAACAAATTTCACTAAACAGTGGTAGTTCAGTCAGTCTCTGGTAGCAGTTTTACATACTTTAGGGGTTTTATGGCATTGAGTGACATTTCCACATGTCTTTGAATTCATCTTCAAAGGCACAAGTACCAATACTGAGAAGAAGGGGACGTGAAACTAAGGAAGGAGGGTGGTGACCATGACCTGCAGGGAGGCCTGTCCTTAAACACACCTGAGTGCCGGCAAGTTCCACAGACTTCTAGAAATTACTTACATCTTTCAGTATCAGAATCTGGCTTGCAGCTTTTAGGTACTGCAACTGATGAGTCACTAAGATTGTGATCTTCCCATGCAGGGCTTGACAAATACACCTACAAACGTAAAAGGGACAGAAAGCAAAAGGACATCAGCGGGGCTGCGCCAAACTGAAAGCACGTACTTTGAAAACATAATGAGACAAAGACAACACGACAGTCAAAAACCGGTAGTTTAAATACCAGCTTGAATATAAGTACAAATACAGATCAATGAATGAATCCAACCAGGTTCTCGAATACATCCGCAGCAAACTCGCGTCTAGCTCCACTAAGAAAGTCTAAAAACAGTCCAGCGAGAGGGCCACCAACTGCTAAGTTTATTTTTCAAATACTCATCTTAACAGTTATTTGTATATTTCATGATGGAAAACGACTGAGCAATACTGAGACTTCAAGCCCAGACTGAACTAAAATGCTAACTGTTCCGTCACCCTGTGGGAGGGGAACAGGACAGGTCTACGTCATATAAAATGTGGGCATTTTTCTTAGCCAGTATCCAAGGTGATTATTTATGATGTACATAGTAGCTTCTCAGTAACCTTTGCCAGACTCTGTTTTCTAGACCTTTCTTCCCCAAAAATATTAGATAGAAAATGAATGGTAGCAGGACCTCAGTCAGTCTCTACATTCCCAGTCCCACTGGGTGACAAATGTTCTTTCATTAAAACTAAAAATCTTTGGAATATATGTATGTATATGCATGATTGTGTTGTACACCAGAAATTGACACACTGTAAATGACTGTACTTCAATTTAAAAAAAAAAAAACCTGAAAATCTTTGAGTATGAAAATAAGAAATGAAAACCCAAAAGGCTCAAGTCACAGTGGAAATCATCCAAAAGCTCAAAAGATACACCAAATTCTTTTGGCCAAGATCCCCTCAGTATTCAACCTTAAGTTTTTCTTTATACTAACCCCTCAAACTGCTCCTACATTTTAAATGTAGACACCCAGGAACTCAGCCCCAGTGCCATCCCACAAGGGTCTACAACCCCTCTGGGGAAGTCAGTAGCCGGGAACGGAGCCCAGGTGACCGCAGGCAGCGCTCCAGGCACCTGCTCTGGGTGCCCGAGTCCCTCACAGGGCAAATCTTAGGACGAAGAGCCACAGCCCAACCTGCTGAGTGAATCAGACAGGGGGATCCAGACACACAAGACTGCAGCTCAGATCCTTCTTACTAACCTGACAACGTCAGACCTCTCGGAGCCTCAGTTTCTTCATCTCAAGACAAGGCCAATGACAACTCATCCATGTGTTCTGAGAACTAAAAGCACTAACCTGCTCAATAAATGTTAGCTCCCTTCCCCACTCCTCCCAAACCCACAAGCGGTCGTGTGCTTTCAGCTCAGGACAGACAAGCCCTAAGGAGACATTTGGACATTGGGCCTGTGATCAGAAGCAAGGATGCAGACACATAACCATCAGGTATCACCTCACACCAGTCAGAATGGCCATCATTCAAAAGTCCACAAATGGTAAATGCTGGAGAGGGTGTGGAGAAAAGGGAACCCTCCTACACTGCTGGTGGGAATGCAGTTTGGTGCAGCCATTATGGAAGACAGTATGGAGAGTCCTCAAAGGGCTAAAAATAGACTTACCATATGACCCAGCAATCCCACTCACTATGTCTGAAAGTATTCATTCTTCCCTTTTGACATGTCTTAGCTCAGCTTTCAGAACTAAGGTTCTTGACTGAGAAAACCCTCCTTCAGACTTAGCACTAAAGCTTTTAATGCAGTTGTTTCTCCTAATTCAAAATTACCTGTCAATAATCCCTGAAGGTGGATGTTAATCAAATCTGATGTGTTGCTAAGTCCAAGATGGAACAACCCCAAACGTTTTATTTGCCAAAAATAGAGCCTCAGATGAAGAAAGCAGACAATACCCTGCATGGAGTCCAGGGAGAAACCCGGAAGGGGTATAGAAAATGCACTGTCGGCTCTGATGTGTGCTCAGAAGGAGGGGTGCTGTCTTAGAGGGGGTGACACGGGTGCTGAGACTATCTGAGAGGAAGATCTTTGGAAGAAGAGCAGCAGGTGTAGGGGTCTGGGGACAGAACATGACCTCTTAAGGCAAGTTTGTGCATTCACCGCTTAGCGGGGGTGGGGAGACACATAAGTGGTCAAGTACCACCCAGTGGGGGCTGTGCGGTGACCGAAGGATCTAGTCTCCCCCTGCAAGAACACAACGGAAAGGCAGGGACACGACACTCTCCTTCCTTCTCTGCCCAGTCACACTATCCCCTGACTCAGGAACAGAGGAGGAGCACCTGCACTGGAAAGGCTAGTGGGGGAAGATGGCGAAGACACTTGTTCCCTTTGGAGGACTTGGAGCCACACCCTGAACATGAGGGGGAGTCTGTGAAGGGCTAAAGGGCTGGGGCAGGAAGGTGACCTGCAGAGGCAGTCGTGTGGCTCTGGTTAGGACAGACCTGAAGATCTGATGATGCAGGAGGTGGTGGTCGGTGTGGGGTGGGGGGGTGGGGTGCTCTCTGGAACACAAAGGGATCCACAGCTAGACAGAGAAAAGACTGACACCAGTTCACCTAAGTGCCTCTAACCTCCTGGAGGTGAAAGAACCCACTTACTGTTTGCAACACACACTTGTAAAACTCGAAAACCTCAGTAACTTTGGACATAGATTCATGACTGAAGGAAACTGTTAATGACAAGTTGAAATGTAATTCATTCACCTTTAATACAAACACTCCCCATTACTGAGCCTCGACACGACCGCCATCTTCCATCGCATGTTGTTCCATCCAATTTTCTAACTCGTTGAGAACCTTCTCCAGTTGCTGCTGAGTGATTTCCTAAATTGCATTCGTGCTCCCTGCCCTGAGTTTCCCCAGAGAATGCGGTTCTGATTAGCAAACAACAATCTTAGCAAGCTTGCATCTATCAGGTGTACATCCAAAGTCCTTACACCTAAAAGGTTGGAGAGGACTTTAAAAACACCTCCCATGTGAGGAAGAACTTGGGAGAGCCTGTGTGATAAGCACATTGGTACTTGGCAATCAGATCACCTTTCTCTTTCTCCTCCCTATGACAGGGAGACACATGGCCAGAAGGAACTGTTCTCAGAGTGATGGAGAACTTGGGCAGAGGCACACAAGACGGGGTGACTGACATTTGCGAGTTCACGGCGGGACGCTGGGAAGAGAGAGGCTGGGCTCCTTATGATGCCAGGAGCGTGCGTGGTGGCGAATCTCAGTCACAGCAGTAGTGACCTGTCGCTGAACGTAGTACAGGCCATAGGTACTTCTCTACGGGAAAATTCATCAAGTCACGATCAGGAGGAGGCGGGAAAGGGGGGTCAGATCAGAGAGCTGGAGGCCATGCCATGTGATAGCTGCCCTGCTCTCTCATGCTGCGAAGGAGTCAGCACTACCCCTCAATGTGATGGTGGTGGAGGTGGGGTGGATGGGAGGTGACTGCATCATGAGGGTAGAGCCTTCATAAATGGGAACAGTATCCTCACCAAAAAAAATGCCATGTGAGGATGTGGGAATCGGGCCCTCACCAAACACCAAATCCGCCAGCACCTTGAGCCTGGACTTGCCCAGCCTGCAGAATTGAGGGTTTATAAGCTGCCCAGTCTTGGTATCCTGTCAGAGCAGCCTGGACAGACACAGCCTAGCGAACTAACACAGGCCCTGCCAGCGAGAATCTCCAAATAGCTTCTCTGCCCTACAACCTGCAGCAAGGACCAGCCTCCTGCTCTCACAAGCCGGCTTCTTCCCACCTCTACACCTTCGCGAGATTCTACTCTTCCTTTCGCAAAAGGAACCGAATCCCGTTCTCGGCCTCCACAAGCCCTTCCCCGCCCACAGGCCCACAGGGCGCTTCCCGCCAAGCTCAATGCACAGGGACCTTTGCAATGCAAGCTAAAAGCCTACCACTGCCACTTCTCCCAGTTAGCACTTACTGCCCTGCAGCAAAACCCTCTAAGCCTTGAGGGTGCTCAACTTTTCCCATCTCAACAAGAGACAGACGCTTTAGAGGCGGGAATGAGAGCTGAACGTCTCAGTCATCCTTACTCTGCCCAGGGTAGGGCCTTCCCCGCTCTCGACTCACAGTCCTCTTTTGTGAAATTAGAGGTTTTGCACACCAACATCCGTAAGGGGAACGACCTTACTGCACACAGTAGGTCTCTACTAAGTGCACCTGAATGGCTCGTTGGCTTTAACAAGGTGAACTAACAGGGTGAACATCCTGATACACTGCTCTAGAAGATGGGTTAGACGTGCATGCTGCTTGAGCAAAAGCTAGGTCACGATGCTTTCAAAAAGGCCAGTCTAGACTCCGTAAGAGGCGTTAGTCAGCACGTGTTAGGGCACAGGATACACAGAAAAGCATCAGAGTTGTTCTAGTTCAGTGGTTTGGTGGCCAAAACAAGAGCCATTGTCAACGAATTCCAGGAACAAAAAATGAGATCAAGACGCAAGTCAGACTCTAGATCCCAAGTTTCAAATTCAAGTGAACACTGGGGGCCCAAGTATTAATCCTACTAAGTATTCATGAAACAACATTAAATGACTGAAACCCTACTATGATATGTGACAAGTGATAAACCTTATGTCAGTTCTGAAAACTTCGCTATTAACGTGTCTTGAACAAATGATGGAGAAAAAGAACTAACAGCCAAGTACCAGGTAACAGAGTTCCACTCTTTGAGTTTAAAACTATGTATCATCTTTCTTATCCTGGGGTGTGGATCCATCCACCGGGTCCCGGCTGTAAGCAGCAGGACGAAATCTGTCATCTATTTCTCGACTCCCCAAAGCACGGACCCCACTCTCCTCCACACGATGGAAGCACCTTCTGTGTTCTCCTATCTTTACCTCATCGTTATGCAGAATCTTGCCACAGTGGATCTTCTGTGGAGGGAAGGGAGGGGAGACAGGGACACCGGAGCAGAACGAGCTGAGTGCCCTGAAGCACAAGGCTCCCTGAGCTCTAGAGGGTTCCTGGAAGGAAGAAATGATAGAAAACAGGAGCAAACTCACAGTTCGAACAAGTGCCTGCTGACTTCCGCATCCACTGCGCTGAGCGGATCGTCCAGGAGGTAGATGTCTGCATCCTGATACACTGCTCTAGAAAACGGAAAGAGGTGTCAGGAGGAGAACGCTTCATGCTTTGTGGATCTCATCTCTGCATCATGTCGGCATCCAACAACCCAGTGCTCATTCCAAGAGGTGATGCAAAGGGAGGAGACACCACTTCCCAGGGCGCCCCACCCGGTGAGCCAGGCGAGCGGGGCGGGCGGGCTCAGCATCACTAGACACCGCGGAGGAGCCCGGCAGACAGCGGCTGAAAGCGGACTTACCTTGCGAGGTTGACGCGGGCTTTCTGGCCTCCACTTAGGGTGGTTCCCCGGTCTCCTATCACAGTGAGATCTCCATCCTCCAAGAGCTGTAAATCCTACATGGAGACAGAAAAGGGAAAAAAAAGACAAAGATTTAAAATGTGCTCTCCTGTGGTCCTAATCTTTTAGCATCAGTTCTTCATACAAGTATTTCATCAACAGCAATGGGTATATTTCAGTGACTCTATTGTAACCTTGAACAATTCAAAACAAACAAACAAAAGAACTCAGGGATTTTCATGTGTTTTCACTCTACAGTTTTTCACAGAACTTATGCATTTGACCATTTTAACAGATGTTTACTGAGAATCAACTATATGCCAGGCATTGTTCTGGACACAACGAATTCAGCTGCAAGGAAAACAGAGTTTCTTTCCAAGGTGGGAGAAGAACAATATGGAAAATTAACAAGAGTACAAATACCAAGAACTAGAAGAAAAGGAAGCCAGCTTAGGGGGACAGAGTGTGAAGCAGGGAACATGTGTCAATCTTGGGGTTGGGAAGGGCTCTGCTCAGAGGGGATCTGAGTAGACCCACCCAGACCTGGAGAGGGTGTTCCACACGGAGTAATGAGTGAGTGCAAAGGCCATGGGGCAGATGCCCAAGGGGTTCCAAGAGTAACAATGCGGCCAGGAGAGCTGGAGCCAAGAATGTGGGGAATGAGGGCAGAGACAGAGCAGGGGGGGCTGGTTTCACTCCCAGTAAAATGGGGAGGGAGGTGGGGAGGACTGACATGGTCTGAGGTTTTTTAAGGGCCTGTTTGTAGAAAACAGGTGTTGGGGGAGCGCACCCAAGGGTGAGGGTGGCTACAAGTTAGGAGGGTGGCTACAAGGGTGTAGGTGGCTACAAGTGGCTCGCCTGCAATAATCCAGGCGAGAGATGATGGTGGTGAGAATCGGAGTGGGAGCAGTGGGGGTGGAGGGAAGGGGGCCCCATTCCAGGCACATTTCCAAGGTGGAGTCTGATCTGATCCCAGGGGTGCTGACAGGCTGGGTGGGGGTGTATGAGAAGATGGAAGATGAAGACAGTTGTTCTGGGCGGGAGGAAGAGGAAGAACAGGGTCTCCACTGACAGAGTGGGGGAAGATGGCAGGTGCAGGTCTAGGACACTCTGGGTGTGGACAAGCTGAGATGACCTCTCCGTGCCGTCACGTTGCAGCTGGATATGCAAGTGTGAAGGTCAGTGCTAGAGCTCCAAGTGTGACAGCTGGCGGCACAGGCTGGGGAAGGCACAGGACTCGTTTCTCCCAGGAGTAAGTGTGTCTTAAATGGACCGTTTGGCTGCTCTCGGCCTCAGCATCCCACTTTCAGAGAAGGGATAACACCTGAGCCGGGTCTTCACAGTGTTACTTAGGACAAGTGAGAGAGTGACAGACAAGATCTGTATAGGAAATGAGAGGAGAAAGAGCAGTCTGGGCAGGAAAAGCCAAAGCGAAAGAAACAGCTTGCTCAAGGGACTCAGAGCAGATCACCTAGACTAAGCACATGCTTGTCGGGGGAAGCAGGGAAACGCAAAGCAAAAAAGGACAGGAAATTTTGACCTGAGGATCTGTAAATTATTCAATAGTTACACTTGTGATTGTTTTTCTTTTTTGGAGGGGGGGATTATATAGATTTATTTACTCATTCATTTATTCATTCATTTAACAGAGGTGCTGGGGGTTGAACCCAGGACCATGAGCACGCTAAGCCTGAACTCTACCACTGAGCTACACCCTCCCCAACAAAAGTCACATTTGAGTATTACTTTTTTAAAAATATGGACAAATCAGATTACCTGAGGGAAAAAAGATGACAAGAACATCCCCAAAAGGACAGAAAATGGTCGGGTTTAAGTTCCACAGTGTTGTATTGGAAAGCTTTATACTAAGATAGCTCAGAATCCTCACACGCCAGATCCTGGCACAGACGCGCACATTTCGGGGGTCGGGGGCGGTTGCTGTAAATGGTCTATGTTTATAAACACGTACAGAAGAATCACTGTGCAGCCTGATCCTGCAGGGGCCCCTTCCCACCAGAGTCCACATGCCACACAGACACCCAAGGGTGGGTGAAGCCCAGAACACAGCTGTGTTCCCGGTCTAATCACCCCACAAGGCTGCAATCACCCGTCCCCAGGGGGAAATGCTGAATGGTGCCCAGTGTCCCCCACACCTGCTCTCCTCCAGGGATGCTCAGGTGTGGGGAGGAAGACAGGGCTCAGCCTTACCACAGAGGCAAGGGTGTGCCAAGAAACACACACACCCTGGCCTGGGCAGCAGGAGCTGAACTAAAGGCGAAGGGAAATGCCTGAGACCTGTGTACTCCACCTCCCAACTTTATCAATCATCAATTTTTTAAAAAGTTCTTCTTTAATAACTTAAAAAATAGAAGCTCATTAAACAGGAGATTCTGTTTTGTCCACATGACCATAAAACACTGCTTAGCGGATACCATCTGCGATGCTCATGCAAATTACTATTTCCTCACAAAGCGGGTCTGAAGCCTTTAACACCAAATCTCTGCAAGTCTGCCCTAGGCTCTCCTCGCAGTGTAACAGAACAGTGGGACATCCAGACTGCACTGCACAGACCCGGGGAGACCCCTTTAACGCTATTATTCTCTGATCTTTATAACCCAAGAGAGTGACATGGTATTTATCGTGTTATTTTTATTTCTTTCTTTCTGGCAAATTATATCGTCCTATCAGGTAAGTTCAGTTTTCCCCATTGATTCACTAGTTTTGTTTAATGTTTAATTTATGTTTCATCTCGCCAGTTCTACAAAACTCAGTGCCATTTCTGAAAATAATCTCTCCCCAAGTCAAACAATGCAGTAATACACAGAAATGTGAAAGCATTCTGTTTTCTTTAAATAATAAACCACAAGTCAAAAGCCAAGTGGAGAGGCAATCTAGAGACTGAAAGGGATGGAGGACACACCAACCAAGTGCAGGGGGCAGACCTCAGGTGGAGTCAGATTCAAACCAAGGGCGAATGAGACTCCTCAGCGAGATGATAACCAACGTGTAATCACTGACCAGATCGCTGATGACAGTCGAGAATTTGGATTGTATTCAGGTGTCATAATGTGGTGATTTTTTTTTCCCTCAAAGGCATTCTTCCTTTAGAGAAAAACTAATCAGATATTTACAGCTGGACTAATCTGAGTTCTAGGATCTGCTTCAGAATAATTTGGGGTGGGGTTGGTGGGACAGGCTGAGGGCCGTGGTTTGAGATGCAGCACCACTGGTTACCACTTCACCCTGGGGGACTGGGTACCTGAGGGTTCACTACAGGACGCTCTCTAGTTTTGCAGATTTTTTTTAACTGTCCGTTTAAAAGTTAAAAGTGAATAAAACTTCACAAAATGAAACCCGTCCACACCAAAAAACACATTCTGTGTTCACCACTGAATTAAACCAGTAGCATGTGCACGCATACTTACCCAGAAGACCAACTTGAGGTATGGAACAACACTGAAAGATCTTTCATAATTATTAAAAAAAAAAACGAAAGCAAAAACCTTGTAGTTTGAACCAACACTATTATTTAAAATCTGAGTATATGCAACTCACAAGTCACTACTCACCTTTTTCAAAGCACAAGCCTTTATTACTTTTTCATATCGTTCCTTTTCATACTTCTTCCCAAATAAAATATTGCTCCTCACAGTTCCCGAAAACACCCAGGGCTGCTGAGAAACATATGCGATCCTTCCGTGCACGCTGACCAGCCCCTGGCTCGGGGGCAGCTCCCCCAGCACCGCACTCAACAGTGAGGACTGAAACAGACAGCAAACACACACACGTACACAGGAAACGTCAGGATGGAACAAGCCTTCCCCAGTCCTGGGGGCTTAGTAAATGGCAAAGCCCTTTCATTGAGAATAGGGTACAGTACAACCCCGGCAGTTGCAGCAACAGAAAAAAAATACATAAATAAACTAAAAATAACTACTGGTCAATGCAAAATAACGGTCTGCCCTGCCCAAGAGTTTCCCCCAAATGAAGTGCTATATCCAGCAAAGACTGATTAAGAATGTTTAACATTCTAACTAACAGGACAGCCCAGCACGCTGGGTCTCCTTCACTTGACAAATACTTGTTCTTAAAGTTATGTATGAAGAATACATCCAAAGATTACTATTTAAAGAATTCTGAAGTGAGTTACGTCCGAAGAGTGAAACTTCTTCATTAAGGAAACCATCTCCCTGTCACATACACATCTGACATTCACACTTCTGAATTTTGTTGCGCAGAACACACAATACTAATTGCACGTGCAGATTTCCTTTAGAGCTTTTACCGAGTAATGATTGTGGCATGTCTGTGTTCCCAGCTGTGCAACTTGAAGCACCAAGAAGGAATACATAATGTGTGCATTTAACCAGATTTATTTGGCCATGCAACCTTCTTGCAAAACTAATGTTCCATGGAACACGCTTAGAGGAATGTTGTTCTAGATACGCCCAGTTCAGTGCTGTGTTACGCACAACTTTGGGCTCAACTCTGAGAATTTAATAGGGGCTGCAGCACTGCACCAAGCAGCCAGGAGACATTATAACTTACCTTTCCTGCTCCCACAGGTCCGACCACAGCTAACAGTTCACCGGGTCTGACGGTAAAGGAAAGGCCTCGTAGGGTTGGGGTTTCTGATGCCTACAAATTAAAGATTACAAAACTGTGCCCATTTCAACAAAGTAACACAAACCGCTGCAAAAAGTGGAGAAAATGACAGTCAATGATACATGAACATAAGCCGTATCTTTCTCTTTCCTGTTTCAAGATATTCTTTCCTGATGGCCTCTTCCTCCAATCACTTCTCTCTAAGGGTTTGAAGCAGCTTTACTTGGCTTTAAGAAGACTCCTTTTATCAGATCTCCATATGGACATGGCTCCAGACACCAACATTATTTAAGTAGTTGTAAATAACAAGGCACTTGCTTGAATTGAAAACTTCTTGATGCACACGAACTTATTAAAATAACATACTTAACAGAATGTTCAGTATGGGAGGTTTTTACTCACTAAATAAGTTTTCATTATGACCTTTGGTTTTAAATGCCTATTTCACTAATCTTCACAAGGTGGCAGCACCAGAACGTGGCATACCTGGCCCTCTATAATTTAAAATCTCCATTAAACTCTCCATTTTCAATTGATAAAGGATAAATCTCAGTAATGCTCAGCAAGCAAAGAGGCACTTTATATGACAAAGTCATTCATGGTAAATAAACACCTATAAATGACAGTCAAGGCTCCAAAAAATTAAGTATGACATTGTGGGTCAGAGTTATAAAGCCTAAATTTTGTACCTGTTGCATGCATTTACCTGTCCTGGCTAAACAGGGGCAACCAAGTACATCTACTCTTTAAAAAAGGGGAGAGGGGTGCGGGGGAGGTATGTGCAACAACACACAATCCAACTCAAGGGAGAAGGACCAAGTACTCATCATCTCCAGCACAAGTCCTATTGCTGAACAAGCTGTAACTTCTAAGGTAAAGAGACTCAAGGGTATGAGATTCTCTTCACATATACTGAGCATTAAGAAGATTCTCAATCACTGCTAATGTTTTTTTTTGAAAACAGAATGCTTACATACGATTAGTAAAATGCCCAGACGACTAAAAGTGTAGGGTCTGGATGAAAAGTCTGAATAATTTTCTAAATGAAATATTTTTCTGGAAATAACTGAACATACGAAATACTAAAACAACAACAATTACTTTTAATCATCAAAGAAAACTAGCCCCAGATTTTATAGAAATTATAAACCTTATCGAGAAGACCATTTTATTATATGAGAAATATTTTTTTAAGCCTCTCCACTCCTTTTCATCAGCTTCCTATCTGGGGCACCTTACTTTGCAAGGAACTGTTCAGGCTTCAGATTAGGTATTGCTGAGCCATGACCAAAAGGGGGCAGCACTCGACAGCTCAGACTTGCTGGAGTGCATTCCCTCCTGGTTACCCAGGCTCAGCCACACTGAGTCAGAAAGGATGATCAGCTGACTCTGTGCCAGACACATTGTGAAATCCCTGCCCGGTGTAAATCTGGAGCCCCTTCGTTTCATGAATGAGACCTGGCTCCCAGAGACCTCCACTTGCCCCTTGGCTGTCTATAGGAAGTTAGGGAGCTCATGTCTATCTCCTGCACCTCAACCAGCATGTGCTTCGCTCAGACTCAGCTTCTCTCCAAAACTCCCAATGTCTGTGTTCCTCCCCCTTCCCTAGGGCTCCCCCATCCACGACCTAACCTGACAGGTCCCAGTTACTAAAGACCCCGGCATGGGGGAGAAGCCTTCCACAGACAAGGCCAGGACAACAGAGTAGGATATTCTGAACTACAGTGCAAGTTGCATAGGAGTCTGAGAACAGATGAACAGAATAGCTCATTTTACAACACTGCATTGTTTGCTACAAAAGAACTTTGGTAATGGCCCATACATAGTAAGTGTTAAAGGCATTCACTGAATCCGCCCTTATAATGGAATTTAATGGTGGTTTCTATAAATGCTTCAAGTGCATTATGAAACATGAAATAGGAGGTAAATCTATCCTGTTAAGGTAAGAGAAACTGTCAGGTTAGGTAAGAGACCTCGTGTAAGTCTCCAAGCACAGAAGGTACAGGGATGTGGTTTTACACATCTGGGAACATACTGTTGTTCTCTCGGTGGGGATGACAGGCACTGAATCAGAAGCAGGTGAACACAATGCAGGTGGCACAACACTGGGTCACAGGCATGAAAACACAGAACGAGTCTACAGAGTCTGGATACTCGCACTGTGGTCCGCACTCCACTGGCAGCCGGGTCCTGGGCTCTGCTCCGGATAGTGGACCCTTGGATGGAGATACCTCGTCCCTGAGTCCCTCCAGCCCTGAGGGACGGGAGCAGCTTCCTGCCTTTGCTAATCCCAGGGTTGCCTCGCCCACCACTGTTTTGCCCTTTTTGCTCTTTCATCACCTAAGTGACTAATTCCCTGCATGGAATTCCATCTCCCGTGGTGTGGGTTGTTTTCCTGATTAACCTACTGACAATGGGAGGATCTGCACCGAGAACCAGGAACCTGGGGTTGCGGGGAGGCTGGGGGTTTCTGCTATCCCTAAAGGGGGCTACACTGGGTGTGCAATTTTGAGAACTTCTTGAGAGTGCTCCTTTTGTTTTATTCTGTTTTGTCTGAACGTCAGAAATGAACCAAGTGTTGGAAAATCTCCAGTTCCACCTGTCTGATGGCTACACAGTGAAACACTTCAATTGGAAACCACTGGTGTGTATGACACCCACCTGCTGCCTCCTCCCTGCCCCTGGCTGCCACCAAAGCACCAGCACCAGCACCATCCAGAAGCTTAGGATCGGGGAGCCCCCACCCCACGCCACAGCAAAGAACCAAACCATGGCCTCGCTCAGCACGTAGTAAGATGGCCTTAGACCATCAAGGCAAAAAATGTACACTGACTCCCCAAGATGTCTTCGTTAGTTAACCTGCTCCATACCACAGCA